GTTCGAACAACATTACGGAACTTCTCTCCCTCTCTTTCTCTTTTTCCTTCCTAGAAATTTACGCATTATTTATCACGTATATATTGCAGCCATGTACCTATAGTCACAGCTCAGAGATAATTGTTCAAAGAAAAAAGTATAATTAACAAAAAAAGTGCAGTGCTTGGTTCCCGTTCCCCACGTACTACTACCATTTTGTACTTTTTTTAGGTACTTTTGTCTTAAAATTTTATCATCGTCATTATTTTTTAAAATCATACAATAAAACACTGCTAACATTCATTGTTTACGTTTGTGACGTCACGCACGAGTTGGACCTTTCAATTTTTTAACATGGCGAGTTTTTTTTTTAAGTAGTAATTTTGTAGAAATAAAATTTACGCCCCAAGTGACATATTTATCAAAATACATTAATTTTTACATATTTTGATTAAATTTATCAAAATTATGACTCTTAAAATCAAAATTACAATGTATTACAATTTTCCACTGCAATTTTTTATAAAACACCCTTTTTCTTTTAGTTCATTTCTTTTCGTACAAGCGCATACGAAGCATCGCAGACGCACATACACGTTTTCATTTCTGTGCATGCTCATACAAACACAAAATTACCCAACCATCACTAACCGACACCTAGTATTTTGCGCAATAACAAAAAATTTTCAACGTGCAAATAACCCTATACAAAAAAAAAAAAAAAAAAAACTCTATACACATAAGCTCATTTGCAAACAATATAATCGCGCACGCAGCAACAGCCTATTGAGAAGCTGTAGTCCCCGCATCGTCACACTTACACGTGTTACCGTCGAAAACAGATTTGCGGAAAATGTGTGAAACAAATGAGGAGAAAAAAAAACTAAGCAGTTTGAGCACAGACCAAAGCATGAACGAGCAACGCAAACGACGTAAACTTGTTGAAAGATGTACCGATTAAAAATATTCTCTTAACTTCTGTACGATTTATATAGAATACATTTATTTATACGTAAGAATTGTGATTACGGTACCACCGCTATTATTTTTATTGTTATCCTGCATGAAATTAAAAGGCGAAGTTGACTAGATGATCACTATAGTTTCCGATGTCTTTTCCTCAAGAAATAGACCCCAGCACAATAACAATTGAAAGAAGAAAGATGATGAAATTGTGGAAAGTACATCTTCTTAGCTGTGTCAGCCTGATGAAGCGTATAATTTCTGGTCCGTTACGCACCTTCACGTATACACATCCACTGAGAAAAGGATTTGTTTACTATCAACGTACAAGTATATAAACAGTAAATTATTTTACATCTTCTTTATTATTTTTTTTTAATTTTAACTGCACACAGATGGCATATTAATAGTTAACATGCTATATTTAGTACTTTTGCTACTCTAATATCATTAAAACAATATATTATGCAATGACAATACAACAAGATTACGTGCAGTCCTCTATTTTATGCAATAAAAATTTAATTAACTTTCACGATTCATCAGTTAAAATATCATTTTCACTGTGGCAAAATATTGGAATGAAATATTGATATTTTAACTATTACAATACGTATGGTTTTGGGATGTATATTATACGTGAGTTAACATATGCAGTTAATTACTAATAAATCCTACTCTCAGTGTTTTGTTAAAGAAAACAGATTTTCAGATTTTCTTTGTTTGAAATATACACATGCTGCGTCCTATAATTTTTTTTCATTAGCATCGTTATTTTTGCTTTGCCAATTTGATTTACAAATAATTGTCATAAACATTATAAAAATTCTCAATGTAGATCAATAACACACATAAGTTTTTCTTTTCTGCAAAAAACCAGACTTTTGCTTTACGACTGCTACATTTTTCATCGAATCACTTGCACACATGAACAGTTGTTTTTCGATTTTGTGGGTATAATTATTTTTTACGAGCACAATCATAGTTTGTTTTTGTGTATACGCGCACGATTAATGTTACGTGGAGGCAAAAAAGTAAGAGGCAGTTCGGGAGACGAAAGGAAAGGGTAATTGCATGTAAAGACTGATTGTTCGGGTAAGTAGTTCAGGTGATTCGATGTATATACGTGTCTGATTACATTTTTTTTGTGCGACGAGACAGCCTGGAAATAATAAATAATGGATTTTGAAGTTTCAGGAGGGAGACGTGTAAATGAACTCAAAAAAGTAGTGACGGAAGGACAAAGTACCTATTTCTTGAATTCTCAAGGTTACTTTTTCACGGACACCAAGAAAATTAAATTTTTTTTTCTTTGTGATTATTTCTTGATTCATTTTATTGTAAAATCATCCAACACCTGACACCGTCGTACTTATAACCGAACAAAGTTAATCATCATCTATAAATTATAATCAGAGTAAAGAAATTAGTTCATTGAATAATGAAACAAAAAAATAAAATTGTGAAATTTTGTATTCGATATAAAGTATATATACTGAATCGAGATGAGGTATCTTCTCAATAAATCGCAATAAAAAATAGTGTCGGTCAGCAAAGTACAGCGAGCACCAGGGAAATTATTAATATTTACTTCTAAATAAATCTATATATGTAAATCCAAATAAAAGTGTACCAATGGAGGGTCTAAGGCCAATTTGTCACCCAAAGTATCCTTACAAGAATGTAAGAAGCTTAGAAAAAATCCAAGTTGTTTGGGAAACAAGGGAGCAAATAATATACCTCCAAGTAAAACCTCCATGGCAGAGGTAACGAAAGCAAAATAAAAGAGCACGTTTCTCCCCGAAAACACGAGAGGACAAGTGAAACGAACATCCACATTTAACATGTAGGTATAGCCACACGAGGTCCAAAAGAAGGAATCTTCAGGGCAACCCTTCCTCTCGGCGACATAATATTACATAGTACCCCCTTGCCAAGTTGCATAGCATCATCCATACTGAAACGTACACAGCTATCCCTCATTCTCGTTTTCTAACAATAGACCACATCGCCGAAAGAGAGCGAGAGCGCGCGTGGCCCAGTAGGTACGTGCCTCCGCAGTATGTGTGCAGAAGCACTCTGCTAGAGCAACATATAAGTATACATACCTATGTATATACTTGTAAGAGTGGATATAGGCTATATCCAGCAGGAGAAAGAGAGACGAGTGCGTCCCATTTTTTTTTTTTTTTTTCATTATTCGGCTTCTCGAGAAAAACTAGGAGCAGAAGGAGGAGGTGGAGAAAAATCCCGAGATTCTGCAACATTCCCTCGAATTCTTTCCGGCCCTTTGTTTTTCCACGAGGGAGGCGCGCCCCTGTTTCTCTTTCCGTTATTTCTCGCAAATGCAGCTGCAGCTGACAAAAAGACCGGCTCCATTCACGCCTCTGAGATTCTTATTCTTTTTTTTTTTTTTTTTTCCTCCTATTTCTTTTCTCGTTTGGCTGGTTTGGGACACTCCATTGGAATTGATTTCCTCTACGGAAAGTTCAAGGGTAAGTTTGTGTCATTGGGCTTGGTACATGGGCCGGAATTGTTAACTGTACAATCGTTTGTTTGCACATCCATATTTTTGATGATGTTACTTTAAGGTGGTTCTCTCGATCGGTAAGGCCAATAAGTGGACGCAACAGTGGCGAAAACCTCAAACGATGCATGTTTAATCACCAAAACAAATGAAAAAATTCAACAACGTTCCTGAGATGCTTTGTTATTCCCACGAAATCCGTACGAAGATGCGAAATTCTTTATCCATTCACTCGAAAATTCTGCCTTCGGGTAAAAATCCTCGACGTCTGTGATCTTTTTTTTTTTTTTTGTACTGGCATTCGTATGTGTTTCATAAAGGTAAGCGTTATAAATATCAAGTCTTAACGTATGTAACAAAAAAAAAAAAAACTTGAGAAACTATTGATTTAGAGATTGTCGTCCATATACGCGTCAAGAAAATCAATAAGAATTCAATTTCGATTGCTCAATGTAAAAAAAGTGAGATGGACGAAAACAATTTTGAAAATTCAGTCATGCCCCTTCTCGGACTAGAAAGTTCAATGTATCATTTTTGTAACATCGTGCAAGTAGTACGTCTAGGAAACCATCCTATTTGTACACGCAATATACGTATACACCTTACGTGCAAAGGAGACGCTCGTAGAATTCCAAATTCAAGTATACACGAACAGCAGTGAATAACGCGTGTAAGTAATATATATATGCTCGCCACAAGCAATACGCAAGAAAATCTAATTTTCCAAAGCACACTGGACACACTAAGTATACGTATAGGTACGTGTAATGAAAGAACAAGTTTAAAAGTATAAAGTAGGGGTCGAAGAGTTTACTGCGCAACGCAGTCTATGTACACATAACACGTATAGAGATAAGACTTGGTGTAAGCAGACGAGTATAACGATAATACACCGAGCGCCGGTGCATCTCCCGAGGTGTGGGTATACATCACAGCGTATACCTATACATGTGCTCGCGAAACTATACCTCCTTTTTTTTCGCGCGTGTTGTAAATTTTCACACGGATAAAGAATACCACCACGTATCTTCGAAGCTTTTGGTCGCATTAAAAGTGTCCTAGCCGTCATCGACCGCACGCGGTACATGTATAATATTCCTCTTTTTTTCCTTCTTCTCCGTAATCTCGTAATGCGATTACCTCCAAGGTCCATACGGGCAAAGGCATCGCAGGTGAAGTGACGAACGTCACGCGGAAAAAGTTGGTAACAGGTGTAATGCATAAATTTCGGTATACAGTTTTTTTGGCGAGGCTCACGTGGCTCTCGAGCGCATCGCGGCGAGCAATATTGTACATATGTTGCTTCGCGCTATATTTTGCCGCGGTTACTACACGCAAGCTGCTTTTTTCATTGCAAAACTATCGAGAGTTTCGCGTTAGGCGCCATTATATTGGTGCATGTTGATGTTGTACAGGTGCAGGATGTAATACATATATGGAGCTACTTGCTTGTGGAAGATGTATTGTATTCATATAGTTAATGGTATATGAAAAAAAAAACAGTTAATCCATGCTTTCTTTTCAAACTTACTTATACTCTTCGAAGACGAGTTCAGGCAAGACGTGGGTTTCGGCAGCTCATCTGTAACAGAGAAAAATCATTTTTCTCAGACTGGAGCAGAAAAAACAAGTTCGTCGAACAGTATATTTTTGGTCATCGTTATATCGATTAAAAGTGTAAAAAATGTTGTCGACGAGTCATTTGGTATACATTTGGGTATTTTTTTTTTGGTATGGAAAAAAAGGTACATAGCGATCCCATATGTAGTCGTGACCTCGAGAAACGAAGATATTGATCGGTGCGCGTTGAGTGTTTTGATTTCTCCAAACGTCCATCATATAAGAACGGTACGATCGATCGATCGCGGAGTGTCAATTTGTCGATTATTGTTGCGAGTCGAAAAATATTATTTTTGCATCAAGCTGAGTTGGGCGTCCCGACGTCTGCGGGTCTTGATGAAAAAATTACAGCTGTTGTTGTCCTGTATGCCAAGCTTTGTTGGTCTGGATGCAAATTAAACCACTAACGTTCCTATTTACGAGTAGGATTTGCGGATCCTTGAGGATATCTTTTTTGCCACCAAATATAAATATTTCAGTCAGCAAATAAAAAAAAAATACATCACAACACAGCCTAGAAAAAAAAAAAAAAAAAAAAAAAAAAAAAAGAGTTCAAGAAAGCAAGTAAGTATTGAAGGGGCAGGGCTAAAAATATCCGCCGACACACACGTATAACAACACAAAGAGACAGAAAAGAAAAAAGAAAATATAAAAGACGTACGGATAAAAAAGGGAGCCGCGCTGAGCCAGTGCCGCTGTGCGCTGCCGGAAGCACTGCCAACACGTAATAATACATACATATTGTATACATATACGTATATAATGTACCTATATATACCCGCCTCGGCACCGTTTCCTCGGACCGAGAAAAGCTTTCGAGTGGTCCACGGCGTCCACGCGTTATACCATATACCCATAGCATTAAATATATGTGTGTGCACAACAATGTCCATTCCACATATACAGAATATTTATATACGTGTCTTTTTTGGGCGCGTTGTACGAATAAATATGTACAAACATGCGGTTGGCAGTATAGACTTTGCGCGATGTATGGGTTTTGCTTCGCGCGCGGATACAGTGAAAATCAGCGTATAGGTATAAGTAGCTTGTGCGTAAATATTATGCACTTTTCCGCATGGAACGACGACTCAAGTGCATACAGATAGTAGGTATTTACTGATGCAACACGCGTGTACGCGGTTGTTGGGACAAAAAGTGGTCTAAGTGCAGAGAAAGTATATATATATTTGTGCGTGCGCTCTTGAAGTCTATTTTCGGAGGCCATCAGAGGTATAAAAAATGTACATTGTACATATATTGTATAGGTACACACGCGGTACTTGATGCCTGCATAAACTCTCTGCAATGTGCCACGCGAGGTGTTGGTTGGATGATGTTGCACACACGGTAGGTATGCCAGGGCTAGAGTATAGGATTTATAATGAAAGTATTGGACTGCCATTGCTATACGTGTAATTATATTGCTGCAGTTTCGCCTCGAGAGCGCACACTCGAGGTGATGGACCGGGATGGGCGCAATAACTCTGATGGCTTCGAATTTGCATTTATATCTGTGCTGTATAACACCTACCGTTTTGCACCTTCACTCGTTTTTTTACTTGTCGATTGCTCACGGTTTACTTTTTTTTTAAATTTATTTATTTTTTAACTTCAATCTGTGGTGCCTTTACGTGGTATATGCTTCAAAGAATATATATATGAGTGATTCTGCCGTAACTTGCTCAGTTCGACTTGAAAAATTTTTTTAAAAGAAGTTGGTTGAAAAAAAATTTTCCATGGTATTTCTACTGTACACAACATCAGTAACAAATATCTAAAGCGATGCAACTATAAAATTTGCTGATCAAAAGTTATACGAAATTTTATATAAGTCAGTTTTCGTCGATTTTCAAAAAATTGTATCACTTTCTAGCACGTGTATCTAAGCTACTTCAACAGTTCGAGTTATCTTATTGGTCTGAAATGAAATCTGGGATCAAGACCTATTGATTAAAAAAAAATTTTGTTCAGTTTTGTGCCTCCATTCAAAAGTTACAGCTGTTTCAATTAGAGCGTAAGTATCGCTAATAATGTGATTTTGGTTGAAATTCAGTATTTTTCATAAAATCACTATAACTTTTCATTCGGGGCATAAAATTCAAAAATTTTTATTTTAATCATTAGGACTATGTTTTTGCTTTCATTTAAGCCCAGATAAAGCTACCTAATGGCTAATGGAGTGCACCACTTGGCTACCAACGTTGGAAGTAGCACCACCGTTTTTGCATATATGTAGCGAAAAGAGGCCAATTGAACGAAACCCCGAGATACATGTCTCGTCTTTTAGCCCAACAGTGATGAAAAAAAGTTTGGATGGGATTGATTGCTCTAAAACGAAAAAAAAACAGCACTTTGAGGTGAGGTGGGGTCGGAATGGAAAAGTTCGGAATGGAATTTTCAATGTTTGTAGTGCTTGTACGACTTATAGACGTATTGCAATGATTTGTCCACCCATAATTTATTTACTAGCCTCAAATGCAATAAGAAATTGTAGTTTGCGTGCCTGCACACGTACATCGAGTGGTTGTTCCATGGGGGGTTGGAATGGAATAAAATGTTTTTTATGCACGAAATACGCAAAAAGAAGAGCTTGGCTATTCGAGAGGCAACAACTTCAGGTACTACTGTCGTAAGGATTTATTCATTTTAGTCCTATACCTTAAAAAGTGACCATTGGTTAGCATTTCCGATCTAAAAAGTTACTAGTTTGAACTGATTTTTGTTAAAACCGCGATTACGGTGCAAATGTACGGGCAAAAAGTATGCAGTGAAAGCTTCTTTGTCGATTTTTGGTGAGACTAAGGTATAAATCTAATCACCAATAGCTAGAGTATATAATGCTTACTCGCCCAAGTGGCAGATAAGCCTTATTGTTTACCGGTGAAAGCTTTCATGAGTGAAATTGAGTTGGGGACATGGGTTGGAATGGATAATTTTACTCTAAATGATCGATTATCTCAATGAAGGGATCAAAATATTCGTATAAGATAATATGTTAAGTAAAGTCGACAACATTTAACACAATTTAACGTTTTTAAAGTTTTTGATTTCATTATGGCACGTGAGTATGAGTACCGGACACGATCTGAGCAAGTTACGGCAGAATCGCCCATATATGAGGCTCCCTCGAGGTGATATTACTTGCTGTATGGTGCTGTTGGTGGTGTGCAACATGTTGGCTGATGTGCAAAGTATGTATAGGTATATTTATACGAGAAAGCGGAGCAGTCTCGGGATATTTATAGATATACATATAGATATATATATTATAAGTTTTTTCACCAAGAAAAGACATATCTTCACTGAAAGCACTGGCGACAACTATCACATCTCCTATAGAGGCGTGCCCCAGGGAGAAGTTCTCAGCCCCTTATTGTATTCCCTTTATGTCTCTTCAATCACCGAAGAAATTCCTGAAAATGTGTTTACCTCCCGATTCGCCGATGATCTAGCTCTCTACACTAAAGTTAATAATAAAGCTGACAGTAAAACTACTATGGAAAACTCCATAAACGTAATAATTAAGAACCTTGACAGCATAGGACTTAATATTTCCGAAAAAAAGTCACAATTCCTTCACCTAAATAAAAAAGGTTTAAAACCGAGCGAAACGGAACTGTTCATCGGCACCTCCAATACTAAGTCCTCTGACAGTGTCAAATTTTTAGGGCTACATTTAGACTACAGATTGACCTTTGATGAGCACATCACACATGTACATATAGGAGATGCATGACTGCTATGAACATCATCAGGTACTTGAGAGGAACTTGATGGGGAGCCCACCCAGAAACTCTACTAATTTTATACAAGAGCTTTGTTAGATCCATCATGGACTACGCGAGCATTATCTATTTTCCTACCACCTTCGATAAAACAAATAAACTGGAAAAAATTCAATATACTGCTATCCGGTATGCCATGGGATACCGTAGATCTACCCCGACAAACATTATTCTTGCCGAATCAGGGCTCATCTCCATTAAAGAGCGTTCAAGCTTCCTCTGCTCATGCTATTTATCTAAGATCCTTAGCAACACCTCTCACGAAACTAGGCTAGCTATTCTATCTTTTATCAATAAGTTTGAGTCTCTTCCTAGATCCCCCAGACTCCTTATTAAATGTATCTACTCCTTCGTTGACTTACAAAATGACTTCAATATTAGAACAGACGATAACTACAGCATGTACAAACATCACTTTTTCACAGCTCTCTACACTATCCCTGTTGATATAGAAATAGGTAAGACGATTAAAGACTCAGCTACACCCAATGAATCTCTAAAAACGTTTATTTCGTTCCAAAAAGCCATAGCCATCTTTACTCATGGTAGTAAAATTAAAGATTCAAAAAGTGTTGGTTCTGCCTGTATATGCCTCCATAGTGAGTTTATTGACGCTAAAAGCTTGCACCCTAAAAGTTCCGTCTTTTCAGCTGAGTTAACAGTTATTACCTTGTATATGATATCAAAATTAAATACCTCCAATACGTCACTAAAAATCCTAGATCCTTTATTAAGTTAGTGTGGATTCCAGCTCACATAGGGCTCATCGGTAATGAAGCCGCTGACTCAATCGCTAAATTTGCTACATACTCTCCTGATCAAAAGGTAGACTTTGACAACTACACGGATCTTACCGAGACCTTTTACTTCAATGCGTACTCTAACAGTGACGCCAAAAACAAACGAGACGGGGACCTTAAAGGCAAACTCTTTTTTGAATTGTTCCACACATCAAGGAAGGATCCGTGGTTTAAAAAACTGAACTTGCCAAGAGACTACATTTTAAGTGTAAACCGTATGAGGGCTAACCACCACAGCCTGGGTGAATCACTTCATCGTAAAGGCATTATTTTAGATCCAGGATGTAAATGTGGACATCATTCTGAAGATTTAAACCATGTAATCTGGTCCTGTCAATTATATGATGCTCCCAGAAAAGACCTACTCAAAGACC